GGTACCCAGTCTAGAGGATCTCTGGGTGCCCCCCTTCCGAATTCCGGAATTCTCCCAGACTTGGCATTGATGGACAGACGGTTGACGAGAGCCCGTCAAGTTGATGATATCCCTTCCTGGGCCATCGTCCAGTCTAAAAGAGTTGTCGGTTTTTTGTGCGTGTTGTGTGTTTGGGGGATCAAGTGGATCGCAATGGGGGGGGGTCTCTGGAACTACCCGCCACTAGATCCTTGAAGTCGGGCAGCCTCGCCCCCCTTCTGAGGAACCAGCACGGAAATTTGCCAGCTATCCCGAATCTTGGCTTCGGGTTTTTCTCTGCCAAAGAAGAAGTGGCGAAGACTGGTGGACTTCAACTCCCAGAATTCCCTAGCCGGCCTTTTTGATTGGAGGGGGGCCTGCAGAGGCGGGGCGGGCCGATTCGTGTCTGGGGTCTCTTCCAGGGCTGTCCTGGGGTTGGGGGTCTCCGAGAGATCCACCATCCGGTCCCTTGAAGGCTGGGGGGGGGGGTCTTAAAAGATTTGTGGACTTCAACTCCCAGAATTCCCCAGCCAGCTCCTTGGGTGGGGGCAGAAAACACCCAGGAGTGGGGAATTCTGGGAGTTGAAGTCCACAAGTCTTTTAAAGTGGCCAAGGTTGGAGATTCCTGCTTTAGGGGGAACATGGCGGACTGAGGAATTCTGGGAGTTGAAGTCCATAAGGCTTCCAGTGGCCAAGATTGGAGATTCCATCTTTAGGGGGAACATGGCGGAATGAGGAATTCTGGGAGTTGAAGTCCACCAGTCTTTTAAGTGGCCACGGTTGGAGATTCCATCTTTAGGGGGAACATGGCGGACTGAGGAATTCTGGGAGTTGAAGTCCAGAAGTCTTTTAAGTGGCCAAGGTTGGAGATTCCTGCTTTAGGGGGAACATGGCGGACTGAGGAATTCTGGGAGTTGAAGTCCACCAGTCTTTTAAGTGGCCACGATTGGAGATTCCATCTTTAGGGGGAGCATGGCGGACTGAGGAATTCTGGGAGTTGAAGTCCATAAGGCATCCAGTGGCCAAGATTGGAGATTCCTGCTTTAGGGGGAACATGGCGGACTGAGGAATTCTGGGAGTTGAAGTCCAGAAGTCTTTTAAGTGGCCAACGTTGGAGATTCCATCTTTAGGGGGAACATGGCGGACTGAGGAATTCTGGGAGTTGAAGTCCACCAGTCTTTTAAAGTGGCCAAGGTTGGAGATTCCATCTTTAGGGGGAACATGGCGGACTGAGGAATTCTGGGAGTTGAAGTCCAGAAGTCTTTTAAGTGGCCAAGATTGGAGATTCCATCTTTAGGGGGAACATGGCGGACTGAGGAATTCTGGGAGTTGAAGTCCAGAAGTCTTTTAAGTGGCCACGGTTGGAGATTCCATCTTTAGGGGGAACATGGCGGACTGAGGAATTCTGGGAGTTGAAGTCCACCAGCCTTTTAAGTGGCCACGGTTGGAGAGGCCGGCCTTAAAGGGACCGGATAGTGGATCTCTCGGAACCCCCCTCCCCAACCCGTTTGAGCTGGAGAACAGCCAGGAAGATGACCCCCCCCCTCCCTCCAGGGCTGGTGGGACCCACAATGCTTTCAGAAGCTGGGTGAGAAGACACACACACAACACACACACACACACACACACACACACACACGGGCAATGCCAGCTGTGCCCTGCCCGGAGGGGGGGGCAGGAAGGAGACCCCCCCAAAAGGTAGACAGGGCTGGTCTCTGCCCCCCCTTCCTCCCCGGGAACGGGGAAGCACACACACACACACACACACACACACACACACACACACCCCTTTGCAGGGCACCCTATTAATCTTGGAATAGGCAGTCTGGGCCTGTGGGGGGGCCTGGGGGGGTCTCCCTTCCTAACGGGGGGGCACAAATCTCAGGTAGTCGGAAGCTCACACACACACACACACACACACACCGACAACCCTGATTCCCCCCAAGGACCCACACAACATTNTCTCTTTTTCTTTCTCTCTTTCTCTTTCTCTCTCCCCCTTTCTCTCCCTTTCTCTATATTTCTTTTTCTCCCTCTCTCTCTTTCTCTCTCTCTCTCTCTCTCTCTCTTTCCCTCTCTTTCTCTGGCTTCTCTCTTTCTCTCTCCCTCCCTCCCTCTCTCTCTTTTTCTCTCTTTCCCTCTTTCTCTCCCTCTTTCTCTACCCCTTTCTCCCTTTCTCTCCCTCTCTCTCTTTCTTTTTCTCTCACTCCCTCTTTCTCTCCCCCCTTTCTCTCTTTCTCTCTCTCTCTCCCTTTCTCTCCCTCTCTGTTTCTTTCCCTCTCTCTCTTTCTTTCTCTCTCTTTCTCTTTTTCTTTCTCTCTTTCTCTTTCTCCCCCTTTCTCTCCCTTTCTCTATATTTCTTTCTCTCCCTCTTTCTTTCCCTCTTTTTCTCTGGCTCCCCTCCCTCCCTCCCCCCCCTTTCTCTTTCTCTCCCTCTCCCTCTTTGTTTCTCTCTCTCTCTTTCTTTTTCTTTCTCTCTTTCTCTTTGTCTCTCCCCCTTTCTCTCCCTTTCTCTATATTTCTTTTTCTCCCTCTCTCTCTTTCTCTCTCTCTCTCTCTCTGTTTCTTTCCCTCTCTCTCTCTCTCTCTCCCTCTTTCTTTCTCTCTCTCTCTCTCTCTTTTTCTTTCTCTCTTTCTCTTTCTCTCTCCCCCTTTCTCTCCCTTTCTCTATTTTTCTTTTTCTCCCTCTCTCTCTTTCTCTCTCTCTCTCTCTCTTTCTTTCCCTCTCTTTCTCTGGCTCCTCTCCTTTCTCTCTCTCTCTCTTCCTCCCTCCCTCCTTCTCTCTCTCTCTCTCCCTATTGGGGGTCTGACGGGGGGTGGAGCCAGCTTTGGCCTTGGACTTTGGGACCCCCGTGCCATGCTTGCCTCCCCCCCCCACCCTCCCCATTCCTGGCCTGTTTTCCCAGCCGGTCTGGCCCCAAAATCGCCATTCCCAGCCGGAGCGTCCTCCGGCCTCGGTTGCTCCTGGGGAGGGAGGGGGGCAGTGTGAGGGGGGGCAGCTGCCCCGGAGCTGGCGGGGAGGGGGGGGTGAGTTGGGGGGCTGCCTCTTTTGAGAGCAGAGCAGGCTGGGTAAGATTCACCCCCCCCCATAATTTGCTGGCTCCCCACTTCCTGGCCAGCTGCTTCTGGCTCGGGGGGGGGGCAACATGGCCGATGGTGCACGGGGACCCCTGGGAGGAAACGTGGAATAAGAGAGTTGCAAGGGACCTGGGAGGTCATCTAGCCCAACCCCCTGCTCCAGCAGGAGACCCTTATAGAATTATAGAATGACAGAGTTGGAAGGGACCTTGGAGGTCATCTAGTCCAACCCCCTGCTCCAGCAGGAGACCCTGACAGCATCATTTGGAAGGGACCTCGGAGGTCATCTAGCCCAACCCCCTGCTCCAGCAGCAGACCCCTACAGCATCATTTG